GTCTTGATGAACAGAAGGAACTCACAACAACAAACTGATTACGAAGTATCCAGTTATTAGAAGAGAACTTGAAATTGCGCATGTCTTGCTCGATAGGCCGCTGTTGCAAAGATCAGACTCACAACAACTAGATGTGCAGTCTCCAGAGCTGGCACATTGTTTATGGTGTATCGTGCACCCAGCTTCATTCGTACAGCCTCCGTCCAATTGGTCTTCAGATTCTTTTTCCGTAATTTTTCTCATGTAGCATCGATTCATTGTCGGAGTGCACTCGAGAACTGTGGACCTGTTACCGCTGGGATGACATTGCGTGACTGCATCAGAACAGTGGTAACATTTAAGACACCAAACTTGAAAAAAAAAATACAAAACAAAAATAACATCAATAACAATGTAGAACTAGCCAGAGAAAACAGCCGACATTTCGCGACGCCACCACTAGTTGCTCTACGAAATGAAGTGTTAGAAACGAGGGCAGAAATTCCACACTGATGACGTGCCACTGTCCACAACTGGGCAGCGCTTCCGATCGGTTGATAATTTGTCTCATCCAGTCAGATGCAAGATCTGGGCATTTACGTAGTGACACGTCATCAGTATGGACTTTCAGTCGCTTGTTCTTCAGACTTCATCACCCGGAAAGCAAGTGGTTGCGTCGCAAAATATCGGATTTTTTCTCAGGATAATGTAGAACAAACGTTTTCTGAATGACAAAGTCGATATACATGCAGTTTATGGGCATCTCCCCCAGCTAGTCAAGAAAAGCAAGCGTTTTTTCTATAAGGTCGATGAACGCGACGGCCTTTTCTCAGCTTCAGGGGTAACATTAATGAGCTCATCCATTCTCCTCTTTGGGCTTAAAGAGAAAGAGGAGAGGGTCTCTAATTCGCAACAGCCTTAACGACTTGCAACTCAAACTAATAGAAAAGAAATAAGAGACAGGCGACGCGGAAAAAACCGGCGCATTTTTTGTCTTGACCCGCGTACGATCCCACCTTGGAGGCCTTTTAAGGACTCCATACGTGTAACTTCATGTCATCCGCAGGAAAAAAAAACTGGAAAATCAAGATGCAAAAACGTTTACAATTAGCCCCGATTCTCACAAAACAGTCAATCCGTTTCTAATGAAATTAAGCTGAGTTTGAAATATTATATTTTACTTGAGCGATAATTCAGTCTGTGGTCAACCGGGGATGAATGAATCATGTTTCACCTAGCGTCATGAAACTTAGTTACGATTGGTTGATGATTCCGGGCTTATGTGTTGATTCAACATCGGATTCGCAATACAGTGGAACTCTCGTAAGTAGACACCCTCGCGACGCGAAAAAGGTGTCCGTGCTGACTGGAGCTGGCCATGCGCTCAAGGGATTGTAAAAATACAGTGTTTGTATGGGAGTTGAGAAAAGCGGGCTCTTGTGATGTGAAGGCGGCCGTAAGTGTCCGTCTGAAGAGCTTCCACCGTATTGTGCTGTTAAAGTAATGATCGCTGCCAGAAGTATAGTATTCAAGTTATATGGAGTGTTATCACGCTCTGCGATCGTGATAACAAGGTGTGTGAAGTTGGCATACCGTATTTATTCGATTAACCGCCCTGGGCGCTTATTAAATTTTTGAACCTTGAGAGTGGGCGCTTATTCGAGGCTGGGCGCTTATGAAATTTTCACCAGTTTCAGCAAGTGAAGTATGTTTATTTTGCAACAAAACAATAAATGCTAATAACAAAACGCGAAGAAGTAACAAATCGAGGTTTCTGTAAAATACTCTGAAGAAAACTCCGTCCTCGGGGAAGTCTCTTATTAGAATTTATTCACTCAATTGGGTGGGGTGGAGGTGAGCGCTTATTTGAGTTTGAATGGGAGGAGGAGGGGGTGGGCGCTTATTCGAGGTGGGCGCTAATTCGAGGTTGGGCGCTTATTTGAATAAATACGGTAGTTCATAGTAGAGTCTCTCTCTTCTGCAGAGGCTCATGCTGGGTATCCCAATAAAATACAAATACAAAATAACATCGACCAAAGGGAGGCTTTGTTAGCCCACGAGACTGAGCAACCCGTACAAACCCTTGTTATGAAGAAAACCGCTGGGCACTTTCTTACCCAATAAAAATAGCAATAATCGAAAAACGGCTAGTGCGCGGGGGACGACGCGGAAGACCCCTGCGCGCTTTCTTTTCCCCTCTCCCCAGACTCCTAACGATTCAAAGAGGCCCCTTCGGAGGAGAGAGTAGTAGAGTGTAAACGTCATTTCAGCTATCATAAGATATCGAACAATTATTTCAGAAGGCACGGCCTCCCTTCTTCAAGGTCTTACATACAGTGATAGATAAGGTTAAGCGAAGACGTTACAATTTGAAATAAATGATAGCGTGCGATGTGATACTATAATAGCACGTGAGAAAAAAAAGGTAAAAGTGAACAAGTTAAAAGTATATGAAGCAAATACTGTTGAAGCACTCTATCCTTTATTTCAAATTGTAACGTCTTAACTTAACCTTATCATTGTATGAAAGAAGAAGGAAGGCCCCCTCTTCCGACGTATAAATAACAAAAAAAATATATATTCCCGACTGTAAAATCAGCCTTGCCGATGGTCGCGATGCTTCCAACATACACCACATCGCCTTTATTCAGCGCGGTCTTTCTAGCAAAAGGTAAATGTCAGTTTCAAGTTGACGATTTTCAAAATAGAAAAAACTGTGCAAAGTAATTCTTATGGATGAAATATTAATGTGAAGCTGGTAAATTCGTTTACATAGAATGAACAGTAAATGACAGGTAAAGGGAAAATCTGGTCACGTGGTGATTCTATAAAACCTCTTTTTTCTTTCTCCTTTTCCCTTTCTACTAGTTCTCTCCCTCTCTCGCGCGTACGCGCCTACATTGAATTACAACACAATTTGCAAGAAAACATTGTGACACGGGTTGCACTTTCAAGTGTTATAATAATAGTAGCTAATAATAGTTGACACTACAGCTGTCCCCGCTCTGCATACTGTTGGTCAATAGCATTCTTGGTCGTTGTGTAGCTCTTATACTGATTCATAACGAAGATTTTCACACATATTCCATACAATAGGTAAGATAAAAACAGGAAACGCATGATTCCATGCACTCTTTCAGTTCGATTTACTCAGCTTTGATCAAAGCACTCTCAGTTTCGAGAATAGTTTATTCTGAAACCACAAGAAAATATTTCATTGGAAGTTGAATTTTTCGCTATTTCTCTTTCACTTTCGTGCATGGTTCAATTTGACCTGTTACCATTTCCCTCGGGTAACCCCTGGGACAAGTCCAGCCCTTCGGGCCCGGGGGTGGGGAATTGTTTGAAGCGGTCCTGTCCTGGGGCTAGGGGGGTGGGGGTGAAGCAAATCAAGAATATCTCCTCTTTGATTTTGCGAAGTACGTGTCATTTCTCGCGCGGTATACACGATGGCTGTGGACCTCAACATTACGTGATTTTTATGGAAAAACGCAGGAATTTGTCGGAGAGTGGTTGGAGAGGAATTACTTATCAAAATTTAAGTCTGAAAGTATGTTTTAAAATCTGAAACTAATGTGCATATGATGCGTACTCGAATGGACTTTATTTTCTGGAAACTAGGACAGAAATATTTCTTAAGGCTAACTTTAAATAATGAAAAGAAAACTTATATGAAAACGAATACAAGGCTTTTGCAGGAGCCGATGACTGTCGGAGCCGATAGTAATCGGCTCCTGGCTTTTGATATATATATAGCGAGAATCAGAGATTCGGTCCAGTGTTCTTATTGAAGTTCTATCAAGGAGTCTCTTTTTAAAGAGTTGTTCTTCTTCGTTTTCGTTTTCAGATTTATTGTTCACGTTTTAACTACATCATGACATCCATTATCCCTCTCTCAATAAACTCTGGAAAACGGATATAAAAGTTTTGAAAACGTGTCGTTTTGCTTTTGTACGGATCAAAAAGATGGAGCAAAAAACGTGTATGAGGTCGATCAGGAGCTCGGGGGTGTGGAATGGTCTACTTTCTGCGTGCCCGGGGGTGGGGAATCTGAGGCCTCTGCAAATCTCCGCGGGTGTGCCCGGGGGGGGGGCATGGCTACAAGTCAAATTGAGCCATGCAAGTTCAGTTCATTTTATTTGCCGGAGAAATTAAAAGGTTTGATCAATTCACGCTCGCGCGTTCTAGTCTTTTTTAAAAGTTTATAGAAGGACATACGTGAGCAGGGGATCAATCAGCACAGAATTTGATTGTCAGTGAATTTCTGTAATCTTCCATCGTTCTGCTAGTCTGCTACACAGCCGGTTTTAGTGTCGTCACGCAACGCTTCTCCCGGGAGGAGCGTTGCGTGACAACACTAAAAAGGGCTGTGTAGCAGACTATAGTACTGCTAAATTCACTCGTCTTGAGTGTTTGGGACTGAGTCTTATTCCCACTAAGAGAGAGGAAGAGTGTCTTGCGAATTGTTTCCAATCCGAAGATTTGTGAACTCGTGTCCGCAAGAGCCCATGCTCCTGGAGTCCGGCAAAATCTCTCAGCATCTTATAACCTCTAGCTACTGGCTTAACGGGTGTGTCTTTTGGTCCATAACTTGCAAAACAACTGCTCCACAGACTGTCACAGATAACACGTAACGCAAGAGTATCGAAGTAGGACATCCTAATGGACCGTTAGAAAAGTTATGGGGGGGGGGGGGGGGGTGGGGAATTTTCAAGCCGCGGGAATTTTTTTTCGTCATCAAATTCCTTGTATGAGTTTTTTTTTAGGCCATAGCATGAATATTTTTTAGGGTTAATTGGCGTGATGGGCTCCTGGCGTGCATGAATTTTTTTCATTGAATTTTCCCTTGCGCGGCATTTTTTTTTTTTTACTTCGCCCCCCCCCCCCGATAAGTTTACTAATGGTCCGTCCCTAACCATCAATCAATCAATCAATCAATCAATCAATCAATAAATCAATCAATCAATCAACTTTATTTAAACACGGTAAATGGCTCAGCAAGCTGGTTTTCAGACATGCCGTGTGATAATTACAATTTATAAAAATTAAGGCTAGTGATTAACTAACAATACAATATAACAGCAAGAAATCACTTGCGGGCGCGAACAATAGAAACGTCATCATTACCCACCGATACCTCACGGTCGCTGTTCAAGCAAATCGAGATCTTTTCTGTCATACTGACTGTATATTTCTGGGCCGGGTTTTTCAAAGCAGGGTTAAGTTAACCCAGGGTTAGGGCGAAATATGATTTCAGATATAAAAGCTTCAGAAGCAAATTCAGTTTTATTCTTTTTGCCTACAATTTGATGATTGAATGCTCTATAAAGAAGAGAGAAAATTATTCGAGAAAATGCTTTTGAAAAAAGAAAAAGAAACCCGGGTTTAAAATTAACCCTGGGTTAGCGCTAATCGGCCTTCGAACAACTGGGCCCTGAACTGTAAGTACGTTCCTTGATATTCGGGCGAGTTACTAGAGTGCCTCCTCGGGATTTCGCGCTCTGGTCGAAATCCCTACGGGGGCGATAATAAAAAGAAAAATACTCCTTCACCACATGACCCGAGAAAGGAAAAGGAAGGGAAGAGTGCTATTAAATACTACATTCGTCTGACGACAGGAGAATAGCTGATACAGAGTATAGTTAGTTCTATGTTGCTCGTAGCAACACGAACATTTCATCGAATATTTTTTAACACATCAGCATACACACACAAAAGAAACATGCTGAGAATGTAAACACTTTAACCTAGATACGGAATAGCCGAAGACGTCTTAAGAGCTCTCAAGCAACCGACATCTTTATTAAAAAAATATTCGCAAATTTTAGTCCTTAATAATTAATGAACGACGGGGAAATGGTTACTTTTCACAATTGTTCGGAAACATATATTTCATTCCAAATTAACGTGCGTTACAATACATGAAATTAGAAAACAATTGGAAAAAATTTATGTAGTTTTGTTGTGGGAAATGTTGATGTTCGGGGCATTTTGAAATGTCGCGTGGCTTCTTCGGAATTACGTGCTGTAGCGTCAGTGGCAATCGAACGTAGTACTAAGTTGATCGGATGAACGCACAACAAAATTCATTCAAAACTAACGCAGCTTAAGTACCTTAAGATAGAATTTGTACAGCACTGCATCAACAATAAACATTTCTCCAGTGTTCAGTGTCACAATGCTGTATATTTATTAATAGCAGTTTCTTTATGTACTGAAAAATGATAACAAGAAGAACCTGGCTTATGAAATGAGGCCAAAAGCATTCGTCTTATAATGCAATAGCATTATAAGGGAAAAGTAAATTTATGTATATGCAACCACAAAACACAAATTTCGTGACACTTTGGGCGAAGTATGAACAACCATTGCACGTTTTTTACTTCGTATGTTGACACGTTGCTACGTTTCGACCTCGAAAAGCCTGTTCTTTGTCAACCAGGAGGCTTCATTTTCGATACACTCTGCGCCATAAAACTGGTGTACAACTTGAGTAGAGCTATTGAATCTTCTGTTTTCAAATTTATACCATACAGGCGAAACGGGAGCAAGTTTGAAACCCGCCGGTACGGACTAGCTCTTCAACCATAGCTGCGACTCGATGAAATGAGCTGTTAAATTTATTTATTTCTCGGTAGAAAAACAAGTGCGCCTGACTTTCTGAGCTAGCGAGTTCATTGTCCATATAAACCACGGTATTACAAGAAAATCGAATCATCTCTTGAACAGTGATCATATTATGCACCTATCAATGGTTTGCCCCAGGATGGGGGGGCCGGGCAACCCACGGGAATTAGACTTCGTAAAGCGCACGTGGGTGGGGATTTTGACATCCACAACGGTCCCAGGGTGGGAAATTTGACTCGACCGCCATCTTGACAAGTGGAGAGGACCTGGGAATGAGTGAGTGATCCGTCCATTTGAACGAGTTTCCCGCGTCTAAGGATGGCTGAACTAAAGGTAAGGAGCATCGTGTTGCTTTTTTTAAAGCAAAAATGTTGTTTTTTATGCCCATCAGTGCTCAGTCTTTAAAGTTCTAATAACATAAAGTATTTTTCCTTCAGCTTTGAGAAGAAATATTCGCACAAGAGCTCATTTAGATCAAAATTTACTTCCTAGTTACCTGTCTTCAGAGGATGCCGCCCTGCCTCAAGTTTTCGATACTCTCTGTGTTTATAGATTTGCTAGTATACTCCAAATGTTAAATTAAATGATATTCTGGTCAATTGTGGACCTCAGTTACAAACATCAGTTGGATGAAAGCGTAATACAACCTATTCCAGGCGTGAATCCCGAAACCTGTGCCAAATCTCACCAAACAATGACAAGTGGTGCTTTATTAAATAATCTTATTTTTTGATACTTTCTTTGTCAATTTTTTAATAATTCTACCCTAAAAAAATTTTTTCTACCAGAAATACAATTTGGATTGTTTTGAGAGGATCTTGTTTAATCGTTGTTTGTTCAAATCAGTGTTGTGTCTGGAGGTGTGCTGCAATAAACTTGATGTGAGTGCCTATCATTCCGTTGAACTTACTATGAAGGTCAGTGGTTCCCAGGGGTGGGAATTTGACTTACAATGGAGACCCAAGGGTGGGGAAATTGACATTTGAAAACCTGAAAATGTCAAATTTCCCGTGGGTTGCCCGGCCCCCCCATCCTGGGGCAAACCATTGATAGGTGCATTAGAACACAGTAAAAAAGTGAAGTTAACTTACCCATGGCCGGTATAATAACGAGAGAGCATCCTAGCACAACCATACGTGCCATTATTTTTAATGCCGGCTGCCTGCTTGCCGCCTCGGCGTCCAAGTTATTGTTTTCAGTAATTTTCGGGGAAAATTTGCATGACTAAAATCAACCATTATAGTTCAAGAGCACCGCGTCAATTTATGTTGCATGGGAAGGGTGACTGGGGATGTTTAGCTATTTAAAAATATCGATGTTTTCAACTTCGCAGTTTGCAGGGTTTACAGTTTCTATTCGCAGACGATGTTTCGATTTTCCTTTTCAAATTCAGTAAGTTTCAAACAACACTGACATCAGAACAAACAGACTAGGTTTCGTTCACATCCAATGAAAAGACAACGCCAAAATGATTGCTAATTGCTATTGCTGCGTGACAGTCGAAAAACTCTCGGTCCTCTCTGTTTGTTTTCGTCTCCGAAGCCGCGATCCTTGTGACCAGCGTTACTTGGTGTATTCCTGATATGCTGTGGTTTGTTGATGTGAGTTTTGTGGGGTTTAAATTTACGAGACATGCTGTGTATCATGTCAGGTCTGAGGGCCCTGAACAGTTACATTTGTTTTTCCCGAGAGTCCTGATGTCTCCCGGGACGAAGACGACTGGAGGGAAGCAAAACTAACTGGTTTCCCGAGGGACCTGACATTCAGTGTTTTGGTTTAATATAACAGGGGCACCCAACGACCATTTTCTGGGAAATGATCTGAAATGGCTCGTTATGCATCCTGGACTGCTTTAAAAGCAATACAAATGAATAATTCGCATCGCTAAAAAAATTTGATCTGTTCGGTCGTCCTAGGAGTGGTTTGAACCTCTCGAATTTTTTAGGGCTGTTTTTCGCCTTTCCCGAAAATAACAGCCTACAGTGAAAGCTTTCCGAAAACGTAAGATTACCTGACGAGCTTTTCCCTTGACCGAAATTTTTAGGGCTCCTTTCAAGTTTTCTCCGAAAACTTTATCTAGTGTGAGAATGTCTTCGAATTTTGTAGGGCGACGTAGAATGTATAGAAAATTCTAGGTGTAACAATAATAATAATAATAATAATAATAATAAAATAAGAACAAAAATAAGAACAAAAGAAAAGAAATTTAAGTGATTTTAAAGCCACTTTCAGACGTCTTGTACCCTGCCGAACTCAATTCGCACGGCACTTACGGAAAAATCTGAAAAATCTGAAATACGGCATGGTACTGACTGATACAACGCACATTGAACGCAGTCAGCTTAGGCAGAATCAGAATCTAGAAATTACTAAGAAAGCTACGAAATTTCTAGCTGCCGAAATCGGAATCTAGAGATTACAACAAAATCCGAAATTCTTAGGTGAACAAACCACACGAATCACGAAACTCTGAGCCCAACAAACAGTCACCACGAAACATTTTCGAAAATTTTAGCTGTTCTTGGGCTCTCGAAAATTTTAGCCAATCTAGAGGGCTCCGAACAGATATTTCCCAGAAAACGGTCGTTGGGTGCCCCTGATATAATATCATTCACCTTAACAGTGACAACGAATAAAGAGCGAATGAACAATGTCGGTACTTAAGAGAACACAAATTTAGTTCTCATAGCACTGAATGAATGAATTACAAATTACTATGCATCATGGCCTCCACCGGAAATCTCTTCCCCAAGGTTTTCTTGTTTTCCAATTAGACAGCGGAGCCTGGGGAAGGGCATACTTGTCTAATTTTAGGCTGCGCTCGGTTATTGTCAAAGGCCTCTGGAGACAGTTAAAAAATGCAAACGACAAATTTCGAGGACTAGAACTAGTTTAAAGAATGTTCACTTTATGACTTTTTTCCTCCCGAAGCCCCTGCTTAAGGTGACTCGACCCAGTTTTTTGGGGGGGTACCATCCTACTTTGAAGCTCTCTGGTATCCCCACGTTTACTTTTATCGTAAGTCTAACACATAGAATGGATAACATATAGATCAATCTACAATATAACGTAAAATGTTTGGCGATCGGAGTAAATGTCACATGGTTATAATGCCACGCCCCTTAAAGGTCTGAGTCGAAAATCTGCTGTTGCCGGCATTTTTTCGTGAAAATCTCTCGGCTACACATAGTGCGCATTAGTGCCTTGCGCTGAACAGAGTTTCACCAAAATCGCAAAGACCCAATTCGAGAAATTCAGCGGTTTCCAAATTTACGTCATAATTTATGCGAAAACGATAAGCAAACTTTACACGGATTATATCTAATAAACTATGAGATTTATCTCTTTATTTTGGGCATCGTTATAACAGATGGGTCCTTGCAAGTCAGCAAAACGCTTTAGGGCCTTGTAAATGCGCGATTTCGAGCAAAGCAAACATATAGAAATTATAGTTTTCGCTATTTGTTGACGTTTGTCAGCGTTTAATTCCACGAAAACAGCATTTTCTTTTTCATTTTCTTTTTCCTTCAAATTTTTTCAGGGCTACAATTGATTAACTAACTACCCGGACTCTGAATTTCATGGTCATTGAAAAACTGTGACATTATCTTCTATAAGCCCAAGCTTGAGTAAACATTGAAGATTTTTAGCGTTTTGGCTGAGTTTGTGCTTTGGGAGTTGTCTATTGTTTCTAGTCTGTCATTATACAGCATTCTTGTTCAGCACGCGTGCAATGACCGCGCTTGGCTGACTTCCGAATGCTCCAAAGCTGCAAAGCTGATCGCAAGTTGTTTTGTTTTGTGTATTTTGAACGAACTTCGAGGTGTTTCATCTGGTGATAAAACACTGTGTCGAATGCTTGATGTTACTTCTCAAACAAAAGGATTTTAGCAGGAGAAATTAAGGACACAAAAATGAGCAGTTTTTCATCTGATTTCCACTCGGAACCCATAAAAGATCAATTTCCCTTGTATTTTCTTTATACATTATTAATGAGTTTGAGAATTTCATAAAACTTTCTCGAGTTGTACTGATTTTAAACGATTTCGTTCTAAGAACGTTATCGAGAAATCTCGATGTGAAATTTTGGGCAGCAACAACGAAACGACTCATAAACAACGCTTTTAGCGTTCAAGAACCAGACACTTACCCTGTACCTGGGAAATAATTTTAGTTTTTAGGAAACTGCCCACCTACCCCTTCCCTAAGTAAACATTAACACTTACCTCTCACTTAGTGCAAAATGTTGGGCTAGGGGAGGGGTAAGTGGGCAGTTTCCCAGAAACATAGATTGATCCATAATTTTGGCCTCAAATTGATTTTAGAGTTTTCATCTATACTTAGTAATGAAAAAAAAATTGCTCACAAATTTTTTACAATAATGTGAAGGTAATCTACAGCCGTTATAGTTCGCTTCTATGTCATAAATTATCTTGCTGTTTACTTGTAACGTAAAAATAACAAAATTGTCCGATGGATTTAGGTAAAATACCGCTGCTTTTAGTTTATGTGGTAAATGACATGACCTTTTAGATTCCCTCCCTAAGTTCAATATTTCTTCTTTTTTTCTTTCAATAGTCCGTTGGGCAAACCTTTTCATCAGAAATTACGGCGTTTGTGATTTCAGGTGCAGTTCTGGACAAATATTTTTTTGAATTTTCGATGATTGTTTGATTTAAAAGACAATATACGAAAGGACACATGGTAAAAATAATTTATGATACCTAAAATGATTATAAAAAAGAAATAAAATTAACTGTCATGAAATGTTTTAAAATATCTAGCCGGTTCCTGGCATACAAGAACATGATTTTTTTATGTTCGATAGAAACGCAGACAGTAGCATTACAAGCTTAAGGCCGGTCAAGAGATTATAATAGACTATATTATTTAGAAATGCTTGAGCCCAGCCCATCGAAATTCCGCACTTCCAAATCTGAATTTCAGTGCTCCACTGAGAAAGAACTTTCTCATATCATCTCCGCCGCGCTGTCACCTTTAGTGAAGGTTAGAAGAAATCGTCAAACTTGGGTTAAACAGAGTTGTGCAATTATGTGATAAAGCACATTAGCGTATTTAATCATACTTAAATTCATTTGACGCTTTAATTAAAGAAATAAAGTCCACTGGGTGCTGTAATTAAAAATCAGCGAAGTATATAGATAAATAAGACTCAATAGCGATTCCCTCCAGACCAATTATCACGGCCGGTAACAGTGAGATAAGGGGGAAACGGTCATCCAGACCCTGAGATAGGGGGATGCCCGGTCTCAAAGAAACTTTTTTTTCGTCCCTGGGGGGGTGGGGGAGGAGGCCTCCCCGGGCCTCTCCCCTATATCCGCCATTGAGTAAAGCACATTTTGAAGTAACTCTATTAGCATGACTCAGATGTAATCGAGGGTAAATAAGGCGTTATTGTGAATGAATGTAGTCAGTAGTTCTAATTGAAGAGACTTGGAACTTCATTTCTTAACCTAGGAGTTCCCTGGTACTATACTGATCCCTCTTGTGCCCTGTTGGAAAAAAGTACGGGTATTATACAACTATCCCCTGAAGGGGACGTGAATAGCGGTACAAATCAGTTAGATAAAATCAAAAAAGAAACTTTTTGTAATAAAAAATGTCACTTAGTTAGAGTTTGCTTAGTTTTCAATTGACAGTGTTTCGGGAAACATTTTTTATGATTTTGTTGCAATTTCAGTTGGAAAATGTTTTTCTATCGACCAGTGAACAAGCTAAATTTTGTCTTTTTCTTGGTATTTGTTGGTGCAGCTGCTTCACTTACCGCTGCAATTTCATCAGTTCATGTTTCGAAACTGTCGCCAAACGAGAAGCCATTTTGAATCCCGTCTCAAAACAATGGATTTTCCGAGATATGGGAGCCAATCAGAGCGCGCGAAAATTCCTATCCTCTGACGTGGTGGATACTAAATACAGATAGCCCTACGACAAATCGATACCACGGGGGAATCCCTTATTTGGCCTAAACGGGTTTGTTTCTGCTGAACGAGGTTTACAATTTCACTATTATTTGTCTTTTTGCACCGGGAGCCGTTAGAAGAGTGAGAAGGCTGATGATGAGTGTCTAAATGTGCAGTACCAACAATTGTTTTGTACAGTGTGGTTCTTAATTGTTAACATACTTCTCTTAAAAAACTGTTCTGCATATCTTAGGGTGGGAAGAAGGGTTTCGGGAAGAATAATTCCCTTGGCCTCTTAATTAATATTCCACACTGTGATACTTACCGGGGCTTAAACTACATCTAGATTTGTTTCAGCTCCCTTTATTCATTCACTTTTCACTCTCTAAAAGGCGGATATATACTGACTATTATTTGAGACGTATTCCGTTCCCATTACTCATTCAAATCAGTGAACGGTACTTAATTATCCAGCACCCTTTAATGCTGTTGCTGTTGTTTAATTAGCATACTACTGGCCAAATTGGTTTTTTTTTAAATTGAAATTCTGAAGCACAACTGAATTGCAAGCATGTTGCAACAATTAGTTGAGTAAGAAATATATTTGCAGCCGGGGGAAGTGCAATTTTTGACGACGAAATCGTGTGGTTTTTAATTTGTTCTTCTCACATACTCATCAAGCCCTTACCTATGCTGACCAAATATCAGCTCCCCCGGCTAATATATAAGCAGCATCACCAATCCAAAGTTAACTTTCATTCAGTATCTAGGAGATACTAAGATAATTTAAAATCGTTACACTGTTGACAAAATGCGCACTGATTAGTCTTTTCCTATTGACTTAAAGTGCAATAAAAGCAATTTTTAGGGAACGGGCATTTTATCGCTTTGTAAACTCCGCATTGAGCGCTTTTTGGTATCCTAAAACGCCCGGCCATTGAAAGCTACAATGAGGACACTTCTCGTCTTTTGCCTCTTTGGTAAGTAAATGAAAAAGTAAATTAGAATAGATAAAGAAACCTTCTTGGAAATCCTCTGCGTCACTAATCGTGCAAGTATCAACGTAATACTCAAAATGCTATCGACGTAACACTGGACGAACTGTAACCTCGTTTGATGTGTAATTTTTAATAAAACTCTTCTTTGGCCTATATGAAAGAGGCACGGGGCGTGCTTTTTCATTGATCGATGTTAAAGTTTAGTCAATCCTTCCAGAAAAGTCCGCCACTAACTTTGAATACTGTTAGGGGAAATTTATTATTTGATGTTATATCCCTTCTTTAGAACAGTGTTTCGGTCGAAATTTCCTATCAAATAAATTAATTACTGATGTCGTTGTGATCAATTATCGTTGCAGTCTTGTTCTCCAACGCGCTTGCTTTCCCAAGTAAGGACCTCTTGGAAGATGAAGACCGTGTCAAAGATGGAGACTTCAGCGTAGTTGCAGATGAAGGTTCCAGCATCGGCGCCGATGAAGGCTCCAGTATTGAGGCAGACGAAGGCTCCAGTGTTGGTGCAGACGAGAGTTCCAATATTGCTGCTGACGAAGTGTCCCGTGCAATTAAGAAAATATTCAAAATCTGACCCCCCACTATACTCCGCTAACTAACTTGGTTAGACCTAATCTCGTGCCAGCTTCCTGTTGTGTTAGGGTCAGTGATTTTTTGAAAACTGGTATGGTGTTGCGACTGAGATAGATGTCTTCCTGTCAGTCCTGTATTGGCTATTATTATAGCACTATTATTGATTAACTGGGATAATTAATAAAGCAGCGTAGCCTGATGAATATAAAAAAATGTTCAGTGTGGCTTAAATTGATAGTTAGGATAATGCCTTAGAGTTTAACAAAAGACAACGAGCATAAATTTGTCTTTAGGAAAATGCATGCACCCTGGACTTACCCAGCCACCCCTTAGGGTGTCATAGAGGCCATGGCATCCATTTTCTAGGGGCATCCAACTACTGTTTTCTGTAAATATCTGTTCGGAGAAGCAGAAATTGCCTAGAATTTTCTACAGCTGAGGAAGGCAAAAAAATTCTAGGTGACCGTTCCATCCATGTACAATTTTCGAAGCTTATCATATAAATTTCCCACGATTTTCTTAAGTTTATTTTTTCGTATTTCACACGCCAGGTTAAGCTATTGTTCTTAGAAAAAGGAAACCTAACATTTTCGGATTAGAAAATACAATGGAGAGAGGAATCAGAAAAATTCTCACTTTCGTAAAACTTTAAATTGCATCTAATGTTTGGCAAAGTACTGAAGCCCTTATAATTTCGAAAAGACTCAAGTTCGCCTAGGAGCAAGGAACAGATACAAATTTCCATAGCGCCACTTAGAGATCTAATTAAAGTACTCTGGATAGCCTAAAAAAAGTGTTATCAATACATTTAGCACGGGGCATCCAGCGACCGTTTTCTAGGAAATATCTGTTCGGAAAAAGGGCTGTTTCAGTGATCAGGGCAGCACAGTTGAACTTCTATTCTACCCCCTCGGGGTACCGGTAAGTCAGGCCCCTTAATGGAGGTTGGACGCTCAGTAGAGGTTCGTCATAAATTAGCATAATCTCTTGCTGAAACGTCACGTTATTTTGACACTAACAATCAACGGGAGCGGCATTACTGGTTCACAGTCAGACGTCCCCTTCTAAATTGGATTGTATTTTCCTTCATCATGTTTTTAAAATAATGCCCTACCAAGTTTATCAAGCGGCCGCTGATAGCCTATATACAGCCGCCCCCGCCTCCCCTCAAAAATATTGGGGGGAGAGAGTCTCCGTCTCCCAGCCTTTTGTTTTAAGAGGGGGTCAGCTGTTCTCAACAGGTTTATAAAACTCTTTACGGTGACAACAAAGTTAGCCGCGGCTGCTTGACGGAGGCCGCCTAACTACTGATGCGATAAGTGTTCTTCAGGGCCAGTGCTATACTGTGCATAGGATATAATAATGCCTCTAGCATAAGGGCCTTACCAGATTATTCGCAGTGCCAGAGCACTGAAAATGCCGAAAATGTCGGGAACTGTTTTTAAACTGTACCGTCTTTATTGTAATCAAAAATTTCAAAGCCACTAATCAATACCACTCATATCTCAAGGTACAAGTAAATTTTCAAAACGAGATTCTAGTCTTGTGCCTTTCGGTAGCGCCCCTTCAATTTTGTAACCTGGGAGCGTTGTCCCCTCCCAATAGACAAACAACGGTTAGGTGTATATTGCAGCCTTAAGTCAAATACGAGATTCTAGTTATAGAAATGGTCATTTATTTCATAACCAAACTTGAATCACACATTAATTAGCCCTTGCCTTGAAAACAAAGTAGTAATTCCATTTCTTGGTTTAGCCCCTTAATCAAACATCAAACTGAATACTGATAAAGAAGTACGGTTTTGTGAAAAAGAATAACTTTGAAAACTTCTCACATGGACAAGTAAAGAATAGCAAAAATGATAAGAGCTGTAACTTGATGGCCGTAAAAAACGATGTTAGCCTTTGAAGAAACAGTCGGCCGAGGACCAGCCATTGCAGTGGTGTAGTTGTAGTTGCACTTGTCTGATTGGCAGCTAGCCACGTTGGAGCAAACTGCACCTTGTACAGATCCCTCGCAAGGATCTTTCTTACAGTCTTCAACAAAACAGCAGCCTGATAACCAAAAATAGACAAATTCGTTGGCATCTGATTAAATAGTTATCACCAAAGGTAAGGGAGTGCAGGCTAGATCGATCGAAGGTCAAAATGCAGCTCTTACTCCAGCAATGTCAGTCTTTGCGAAAAGTTCACGTGATAGAAGGTCAAAACGAACATGATCAGATTAAGACTAATAATAGTTCAAAATGCGAGTGATCATGTTATGTTTTGCGCATTTTCATTCATCCTTAGAGGAAGACCAAACGAATGCTGGTTAAATACATTCCGCGCATGTGTAATAGAAGGCTGGAGATTAGGATTGCGGGCTCCTTTGGTTATCCGCGTTGAAAAAAACAAAATTATATATATATTTTTAAAGAGAAGGCTGACATAACGAAATGTTTTGCAGAAAACCCGCGGTGAAAAAAAAAATAATTAAAAAGGATTCTGACATAACGAAGGGTTTTTACAGAAAGATCCTCAGTTAATTAAAAAAGTCAAGTAATTATTTATTTATTAGTAAAATTTCTATGAGTAACAAATATAAAAATAACTAACCGATTAATGAATAAGAATGAACTAACTGAGGGGGTAGATTTTTAAAACAATTTTAATGCTAATACAAGAACAAATTAGAAACGTGCTACTTTGAGATTGAAATTTGGCTTTGAACTGCCCACGTAATGTCCGAGGCACTGATTCCATGCTAGGCTTTAATGGATTGTGCTAGCATAATTTGTGGCATAATTCCTCATTACGAGCATAATTTTGATCTATTTTCTATAAAAAGTACTGCTAGCGTAATTTGCACTTTTAGCTAGTTTTGCAGCACAAAATTGGTATTCATTGATCGTGCAATCAGTTTTTTTTGGTTTGAGAATACCGAAATCAGTATCACCGGTACTGTTGCGAAGACAACAAACGATATCTCGTCGGTTAAATAAACTCACGGTTTTAATTTTACGGCTCCTAAAACTTACATGTTCTGATAACAACTCATGACAACAACAAAAACCCGACCGCGTGTGAATTACAAAATCAGAGTAACTGTCAATCAAAAAAATGAAATCTGATCACTAAAAACTCACGCGTGCGATTGCGTGACGCGAGACTCGAAATGTCTTTTGTCCATTTCCCCCTCCCCACACTGGGAGGTAAGGATCAGTGTGATTGTTCGATAAAAGATTGAAACAGAAAACTATAACAACGAGAAATGTTCAGTGTTCTAACTTTCGTGCAAGGGCACCAGTTTATGAATTGGTCTAACGATGGTGCTTGCGCCACATTGGATCTTAGCGACTCTGATGTGGCCATCCCTTCCTGTATAAGTTTCGATGATGCGTCCTAGAGGCCATCGTCCTCTTGGCAGTTTAGAATCCAGGACGAGAACAACATCATCCACCTTCAGATCCTTGACCACTTCGGTCCACTTTGGCCTTCTGCTTAACAAAGGAAGGTACTCTTGTAGCCACCTCCTCCAGACTTGGGAAATTATCTCCTGGACCTTTCGCCAACGTTTTCGTGGACTGAACTCGGTGGTATCAACGGTTTCAGGTGCGAATTGACCGCCCAACTGTCCGTGTAAGAAGTGGTTTGGAGTCAGCGGTACAATGTCCTGGGGTTGGCTGACTGGTAGGTGAGCGGTCGTGCATTGAGCAGTCCTTCCACTCCAGTCACTGCGGTAATTAACTCTTCATCAGTTACGTCACTCGTTCCGATTACTCCGTAAATAGCTTTCTTGGCCGACTTTATCATGGCCTCGTGAATGCCACCAAAGTGTGGTGCCCCGGGGTTGAATCTCCATGTTACACCTCGATTGGCTGTGCTTTGCTGAATCTTGTCCTGGTCCAGCTTACTGATCAGTTCTTTTAGTTCGTTGACGGCTCCAACAAAATTGGTCCCACAGTCGCTTATCATTTCCTTTGGCGCTCCCCGTCTGCTTGTAAAGCGTGTAAAGGCATTCAGAAAACTGTCGGTGTCCAAACCAAAAGCCACCTCAAATGGACCGCACGGGTTGACAGACAAGTAAACAAACACAGCCACCTCTTCTGTCGGCGCACACCTCGTCCTTGTACGGTTGTAAAGGGGCCAGCATAGTCAACGGCTGTTTGGTCAAAGGGACGGAAGGTAAAGCGAAGACGGATCCCTGGAATCGGTGCCATGATCTGTGTAGCGGTCTTGCTCTGCATTCGTTTGCACATGTTGCACTCTCGCTCCCACTCTCGGATCTCTTCCCGGGCTGCAATGATCCAAAACTTCTGGTTGATTTGGGACAAGACAAAGTTGGTTCCTGCTCTATGGTTAGCCTGTTCATGATAATGCTTGACAATGAGCTTCGTGACACAATGTCCTCGAGGCAGTATCATTGGAAATCGCACATCGTAAGGCAGGTACTCTGCGAACTGGAGTCTTCCATTTGAACGGATACAGCCTTCTTCATCTAACACAGGATTCAACTTCATTAGTCGGCTCTTGGTCAGTATTGGTCTCCCGGTCACTAGAGCTTTGTATTCGTCAGGGAATGCTTCGCGCTGACAGGATTGCACCACCTCTGCCTCAGCTTCTCTTATTTCACACGGTGACAATGCTTTGCTGGTCTGTCGCGGACCCCTCTTCGACATGTTGTGGAGCGCCCTCCTTACTCTAGCATGTAGGTTCACCAGTCGGCTCCAACTTGAGAAGCGTTTCGGGTTCAATCTCCAGACTGGAACACTGCCACCCTGACTTGGCTTGTCCCTCTGAGCTTGGTTTTCTTGCACTGTCACGAGGGTGGTAGAACCCTGTTGCTGTTTTGTTGTCGACTTCATTTCGGGCATCACTTTTGGGCTTTCGGCTAACTCCATCTTAGGCCACTCACTTTTCTCCTTCATCAGCCATTCCGGGCCATTCCACCATAGTTCGGATTTAGCAAGCTCAGCTGGGCTCGTTCCTCGGGAACACAGGTCTGCAGGATTTTTGTCGGTGGAGACATGTTGCCACTGTACCGGTTCAGTACTAATCTGTATCTCCCCAATACGGTTTGCCACAAAGGGTTGAAAGTCTCGGCCTCTTCCACGAATCCACCATAGCACGTCTGTACTGTCGGAAAATAACGACGCTGCTTTCACGGGTAGTTCCAGGACTCTGGACACGGACTGGGTTAACCTTAAACCCACTATGGCTCCCATTAATTCCAGCCTTGGCACGGTCATGGGGGTAAGCGGGGCAACCTTACTCTTAGAAGCTATCAGCTGTGCGGACACGGTACCATCTTCATACTCGCAGCGTAAGTAGGAGGCAGCTCCATAGGCCTGTGTTGAGGCATCAACAAAGGTCACCACCTCCTTCGACTTGACTGGTTGCTGGTTTTGCAGACACCGTGGAATCTTGACCTTTTCTAGGCATGACAGCTGTGAGAACCAGACCTGAAGACGATTAGCCACTTCGTCCTGAACCTCCTCATCCCAGTCATAGCCACGGTTCCACAGTTCTTGGAGCATAATCTTCGCTTGTACGACGAAAGGGCTTATCAGGCCAAGCGGGTCAAAAACAGTTGCAATTTTCTTCAAAACACTCCTCTTAGTAATTGGGTAGCCCTCGGTCACGGGTGTTGCAGGCACGGCCAATAAATCATCGGTGCTGTTCCACTGTAAGCCAAGCGTTGTCGTTACTGTATCCTTACTGTCTTTTATGTCCACTTCTGTGGCTCGGTCCTCCTCGGGTATGGCTGCCATCACCGTTGCTGAATTCGACACCCATTTTCGGGCGTGCATGCCTGCTTTTGCCCACAATGCATTAAGCTGGTGATACAGGTCGACTCCTTTCTCGTCCTCCTCAACACTGTCTAACGAATCATCCATGTAGGTGGACTGAAGGACAGTTTCTGCAGCTAATGGGAACTCGGTTTGGTGCCGCCTGGCATTCTCCTGAGCGATGAATTGGGCTTCGAAGGGAGCTGAGTTCTTCCCGAAAACAACTCTAGAGAATCATCATACACATCTGGGTTGCGGCCTGTTTCTCCGTCTCGCCACAGGATTCGAAACAACGGTCGGTCTTCAGACTCAATTTCTATTTGGAGGTACATCTCTTGAATGTCACAGACAAGGGCAACCGGGTTACGGCGGAAGCGGATCAGAACATCAAAGAGTTCTCTCTGAAGTTTCGGCCCAGCATGAATGACATCATTAAGAGCGATTCCTTTGTATTTGGCGGAACAGTCAAAGACTATCCTTACTTTGGTTGTAGACTTGCTCATCCTAACAATCGGAAAGTGTGGTAGGTACCAAACTTCAGGGGCGGTGCTTCATTTTCTGGGACTTTACGCAGGTACCCCTTCTCCACATAAGTCTCGATGGTCTTCTTATACTCTCTCTCAACAAATTCTCTCTTTTTTAGTTTTTTCTCTGTGCTGAGAAGACGGGATTCTGCCATCTGACGATTATCGGGAAGTTGAGGCCTCTGTCCTTTCCACGGCACAGCAACACTGTATCTCTCACCGTTGTAGCAGACTGAGCTGCTAACCCTTTCTAAGGCCAATCTCTCTTCTGCAGTACACACGACTCGGTCATTTAGCTCAGTTCCATAACTCTCGATCTCCCAAAACCTCCTAAGCGTTCCATCTAAATCACAACAACCACCTGCTACACTAACCGGCCCTACATCCCTTGTAAACAGTGTTCGAATTGTATGCGTTCTTGTTCCAGTCTCCGCTCTACCATCTGGAGGTCCGATACAAGTCCACCCAAGCGGTCCCAAGCGCGCCACCGGTTCACCCACCTTTCCACGTACATCAGCAAACGAGTAATGCAAGTCAGCATTATCAACACCGATCAACAAATCTACCAAGCCGTCTTTTGCTGGTGACGCGAAGTCGCACTGTGCAAGGTGAGGCCACTTGCCTTTATTCGCATTCCAATTCTCCACTTGGTAATTTCCAGTGACATTGCGGGGACAGGTCTTAACTTCAATTTCCTTTGTAAACTGACCATTAACACTTTCGATCTCTACTTTTAACGGCATAGTCTGAAACGTCTCTACAGAATTGTTCAATACATGAACTTTCACGGTTTGATAAGACTCCTTTAGTCCAAGGGCTCCGGCCACTTCTTCGTTCAAGAATGTCTCGTTTGAGGCATCATCTAGGATTGCATTCACTTTAAGCTTTTTTCCTTGTGCCTTCACCCACACGGGAACGGTACGCAGTGAGTAGGCTTCTTTTGGGCTTCTCGGGTTGTGAGTAGTCATCGCTCGCGAGGCACGACTGTCCTCACCCTCGGGTGATAAAACGGGGCCGACTGCCCCTCCCATGGAGTAAATGACGGGTAGCTGTTAGAGCTGATCACTGGTTGAGCAGTCCCCATGGGTGGGTTCGTGGCAGGCGGATTCTCATGCAAGAGACGGTGGTGATTTCCCCGGCAACCGTTGATTTGGCAGGTTTGTGACTTCGTACAGAACTTTCCCTGGTGATCATCACCTAAACACCGGAAACACAATCGTTTTCTTTAGCCAGTGTCCATTTGTCATCGTAACTTTTCTGTTGGAAAACCAAGCAGGCCCATACTCCATGATTCGGGGAACCACAGCACGGACACGGCGGTTTTCGGGTAGGCTGGCCTGAGCCTGGTGGTCTCCTGGCGAAATCTGATCTGACGTGAAAATTTCTGGGCCTGTTTCGATTGTTTGGATTTCGATTTGAATGTTGCCATCCATCAGATTTCTCTGTAACCGATAAGCCATGCGCCATCTCCTTAGCTTCAACGCGGATGTGTACTTCTTCCTTAAGCCAATCCCTCAAACTTACAACAGATCGCTCCCGGCTCTGTTTCTGTAGCCAACGGCTGTACCCTTTGTACTTGAACTTCCGCGAGCTTCTTCACTAACAGGCTATGAAGTGTTCCTTCTCCAAGCTCTCCATCGCGCCCCTCGGCCCTAAAGCTTAACCACAGTAATACGTATTAAATCTGCAAACTTTTCAAATCCTTGAATGTCGTTGTTTCCCATTTTGGGCATTTTTTCCAGCTGGTCCATGTAGGCCTGCAGTTGCCGCCGCTGACTGCCGAACTTGGCTATCAAGATTTCCTTTGCCTCTTCATATTCTGGTTCTGACACCCCAAGCCCTCGAATCGCTTCCAGCGCGCTGCCGGACAAGCTCTGCCTCAATCTCGCCATTTTTAGGTTGACTGATTCTTTGGACTGGTCCACCAGACTTTCAAACAAGCCCCAAAACTCCTCAAATTTCGTCTTGTCTCCACCATACGTCGGTACTTTCAATGGCTTCAGGCGATGATTCGCGGAATGACTGATTTGCGGGCTTTCAGGAACGTTTATTTCTCCTTGACTGCTGTGCGAATTTTGGGAAGGCGTTGGAGGCAAAACTGGGTTGAGCGAACCCTGCAAAACGATCGGCGGACTTGAATGAGCGACAAATTCACTGTGCGAAGCAGTCGCGACAGGAATTTGAGCGTGTGATTTCACGGCCTCGTGTGCCTTTTCAATTGCGGTTTGAATTTCCGATTCCAGCGTTTTTCCTTCTTCCATAGACGCCTGTTTATTTGCTTCCTCTCCATTTTTCAAATAAACAACACACAGTTCATCCAGTATTTCCAGTGTGCTTTCCAGAAGCGACCAAAGTTGCTCAATATCTTTCTCAATAGCGCCTACGTCCTTCGGCGAATCCTTCGGCGTGATGCAAAGCTTCTCCATGTGATGGCGAATTTTTGTCATCTCGGTTTTTCGTAGTCTCTTTTGTTTTTTCAGATCCAATAACACTTTCTCTCTTTCCAGTTTCTCTTCATCGTCCTTGTTTTCGGTCTGTTCGGTTCCCGGACCATTTTCACCGCCAGTTTCTTCTGCATCGGCATTCATCTTGAGCGGCGAAATCACAAATCAAAAATTCAAGCTTACCACAGTGCTTGCGTACGGTGAATGAATCTCCCGGTAACTCTTCAAAACGGTCTCTCGGTTTGTCCCGTCGTGGTCGCCAAAAAATGTTGCGAAGACAACAAACGATATCTCGTCGGTTAAATAAACTCACGGTTTTAATTTTACGGCTCCTAAAACTTACATGTTCTGATAACAACTCATGACAACAACAAAAACCCGACCGCGCGTGAATTACAAAATCAGAGTAACTGTCAATCAAAAAAATGAAATCTGATCACTAAAAACTCACGCGTGCGATTGCGTGACGCGAGACTCGAAATGTCTTTTGTCCAGGTACATTTAATTAACAAAATCAACTGCTTATTGTCATATTTATGGGTCGTAAGACGCAGGACTCTTCCACGTGACTGAATGCATACGCATAACTAGTTCGGTTACCAAAAAAGATTGCGTCCGCATGCTGGTTGTTACTTGTTTGAATTTTTGTAGTTGTCAGACAATAAATTATGCACTCTTAAAGTTTCTAGATGTAAATAGGGTAAATGTCATGTGTTCGCCATTCACTTGTTTGTTGCTTAGTGACTCATGTGTTGTTACCAAATTTAAAGTAATATTTAACAATTATTCCTCTCGCCCTCATGGCCTCTGAGTCAATAGCCGATGAGGCCTTCGGCCTCATGGGCTATTGACTCAGAGCCCGTTCGGGCTGGAGGAATAATTATAGTAAAATCCAACTAGTTGGTCAAAAATATCGAGAATAAAAAAAGTTTAGCTAGTTAAAGTTAGACTTGAGTTCTTTTTTGCCGGCAAAAAGCCCGCGCTTTTCGCTACTAGTGGGCTATAACACATAGCCTAGCAGTAGCTCAACCAGTCAGAACTCAGCATTGATAATAGACCACTAGTTGGATTTTATTAAATAGATTTAGCCAGAGCTAAAAGCGAAGCTCCCGTTTATGCATTCTAAATTTACTTCAGACAATGGACTTAAAGCTATTGCAAAGAAATCCAAAAATCTATACTTAACTTTAGGGGAGAACCACATGACTGAAAAACATAAATTTGAGCCTGCGATCAATTAAAAGCTAACAACTCGTCAGCGGAAAAATCCAAATAACACCTGATCTCGATGAGTGATACGACCATGTGGCTCTGGTCAGCTGATACCCTATAATTGACCATAGCATGGATGTCTATTATCAAGTAGTTAAACACAGGTTACAGGCTTCCATACTAGCTAGAAAGTTTGACATTTCAGATAGGTTTCAATAGGATACTGTTATTGATCAAAACCAGAAGAATTGATATTGTTGTTCTCTTGCGTTCTTATAGAATTTTGGTTCTTGGGTAAGAGGTACGGCTTTATCCTCTCAACCCTATACGTAACGTTTGTCCTAAAACGCCGGCTCAGCATTGCTTGGTCGCCTGCCAAAAAATGTGATATCGTTCAGATAAGGCCAATGTGATGACCAGGGAGCACTAGAAATATGATGGTATCAACTGGGTGATTAAATAAGCAACCAGGTATTATTGTAGGGCAGGGCTCCTGTTTCTATTAACGTTTGGATCAAGAGCGTAAATAATCATTGAGGTTTAACGACGATTGCGTCGCGGGTTTTTTTTTATATAAGTTGGCGTTTCTTTAATAACTTTTAAGGTTAACCCCCAATTGTTCGTTTGTTCCGCCTAGCCTAGTAGTTGCTACCTAGCCGGCAGCTCAGTGTTATTCTTTTCTGGAAATGAAATTTTGTTGTTGTCTTGTTGTTTGTTTAGGGAATTGTGAGAGTAATAGTTCTGTAACAACGTTACCTTTTTGATACTTTTTCTTACCTTTGATGTCGATGACCGAATTGAGAGAAGTGTAGTTAACCGTGTACACCCTACAGCCGTACTCAGCGTTCGGTAGCGATTCGTCGCCACATGCCACTGCATCTTTACTGGAACTGGTACATGCTGGAGATGCTCCACCGCATCGATAGCAAGTAAGCGACCAAGCTTAAACAGTGAGATAATTCAAGAGATAATCAAAAATAATAAAAGTACTACACCAGCAAATATTCCTGGCCCATGGAAAGTATCAGCAAAAATTGATTTCTTTAATTTGTATGGTCGACGTTTTCATTCCCAGATGGGTTTCATTAAGCATTTTAAAAGATGACTTACTGTTATAAACGCTTTCACGACCAAAAGCAAAGCCAAACGCAAACAAAACTCCTAAATTTTATCACTATAAACTCTGAAAACCAAATAGTTCCAGGCGAAAGTGTCAACAAAGACATTTCCTTTGAATGGTTACACCATAGAATTTTGTCCGCAGACTAAAAAGTTAAAACTATCTCTCACACTGAGTCCATAATAGTCCAGCCATCATTTACTCTTGATCTGGTATTGAAACTGGTGAATTACAAGCTAAGGTGCAGCACACTGGGAAAAGCATTTCGAATCCCTGTTTTACCTCGACTAAGATGCGTCCAGCCAAAATGATCTTTATTATTTATCAAGTGCTCTTTGGTGGGCGAAAAAGGTAGGCACTGCGACTTAGACAACATGAATTACACAGTACCATTGTGAAGAGAGTGGCGTTGGTTTTGGCCATAATTTGATGTTTCTACTGAGACAGAAGCGTGTGCCAAGAATTTAAACCTTATATAAACGTTCGGTAACAATTAGCGGTTATCAGCTACTCGTCGAATTCGCTACCTCCTAGTTCGAAACACGCTCGCTACGCAGTACTTTCAATAAACCATTGAAAATAACTCCTTCATATTCGACTAGAAAAAAAAAATATTTTTTTCTATTTCTCGTTCTTTTAAGCTTAACCCTCCGATGGTGTAAGTTTTGGACTTTGTCAATAGGCAGCGAGCCAACGGTAGGTGGCGAAGTCGAACGTATAGCGAACTTGACAAGTAGCGAAACCGGTGTAAGGCAAACGTTATCTTAGAAAATCAAGTTGTCGTTGTTGGGTTGGGTTTTTCTTGCGGTGGCTGTGACTTACGTCCTTAACACAAACCCTAACCTTAATCCCTCCTTTGGCTAACATGTACACCTTCATTAGCACTCGATCGCACTTAACTCAGCGTTACTGAAGCATAAAACTGCTTGAAAAAAATTTAAATATCTATAGGGCCTCTAAACAGTTATTTAGATCTCTTTGCCCTACTGTACTTGTTGGCTTTAAAACCAGCTAACCCTCGACTACTAGCATCATCTGGGGCACGAGCTTTTCGATGTGTTTCCCTACTTTAGAAAAGTCAATCGAAATTGAAGAATAACGATGAAAGTTCTGTTGGCGAGCGCGATTAATTTTAATTAGCGGTGTCTGGTGTTTTCGCTGCAAAGCTTTTTTCGTTTCACCGCGGCACGAAATAGATTAGCGAGTTCGTAATAGAAGATGAGTCGCTTAAAACACATATTTTCACTGTAATTGACGGTTTACTCTCCGTTCCCCTGACTAGTGAAGTTTATCCATCGTAAAGCCAGTTTAATAACCTCCTAGATATAAGAGCATAACAGTCTAGTTTTCAGCGACAAACGTTGAAACGAATCCACCACAGAAAAGTATGCTAGAAAGGGAGAGTACAGAAATAGAGAATGCGCCAAAGGTAGCAAACTAACGGTCCTTTTATAATCACCAAAAAGATTCCGAATTAAAGCGAATAGACACTGCTGCGAAACGATTTCGATATGCAGTGAATAGACGACTTGTAGCGAGATCAGCGAAATGCATATGACTGGAAATGACCTGAAGTCCATTGTATTACATCAAGATTAACTCCAGTAGGAGGTACCATACCTACTGCACAGAGAATCAAGCTAATGAGCGTAGCCAACAAGATCTTCATGTTGACTTGCAGCGTCTGTCTCACGGGGTGTTGTAAGTACTGCGAGATTTTGCGTCCGCCAAGGTTTCTTGGCGGTGCCTAGATCAGTAATGAAAATGAAATGTTTGCGGGACCTGTAAACTGAATAGGCAGTACGAGACCTGCATTCTATTGGTCCATAAGGAAAAATTCCTATTGTTCTAGTGACATTTTAATACTCGGTGAAAGCTTCTAGATCTGTCATCGCTTATTGTTATTCTAAGATACTGAACAGGAGTCTTTTTCATTGGTTACCATGGATAGAACCTGAGCTATTATCCTGATGAATAAAGGAATTACGCTTAATTTAAATTTTCATAGTATTTGGAAATCGACTTACCTTGCTAGACTGCGTGCAGTCCGCCTTTTCTCTTAAAATCCGTCTAGTTCTCATCTCAGCCAGCGCGGTTGCAAACCACGACGTTATTTAACAATTAATGAATGAGGCTGAGTCAGTCTTATAGCCTTCTCATGAAGAATTATGGAGATCGAGGAAGGTGTTATCCGTCGAGGCCGTAGGCCAAGGCGGATAACACCCTCCGAGATCTCCATAATTCTTCATTTGATACGAAAGCCGAATTCAGATCAATAATTGTTTTATTATTCATTCAAAGTAATTCCTAGACTGTTCACAGTCCTCTATTTTTCCGTAAGGTCATCGAGATCGACAGTTTTGCGTTACGGGCTACCCATCTTGCATGAGTGTCAAAACTACTTAGGGGGCGGGGGCGGTTTGGGAGGAAAGCTTTTCATACAATGAGAACCTCGCACCAAAGCGTTACAGGTAGTTATGCACATGGTTTGCATCACGACGTTTTCACAACGACACCGAGGTGTGTGCGCGAAGCATGCCGCGAGTCTTATAAATCACAAAGGGATTGGAATGGACTGTTCACTTGTTGAGGATTAGCCTCAACAGTTACCATTCATGACTATCCAGGACTAACGGAACCTGGACGATCATACAACTTCAAATGACACTGGTATATCTCCAAGAAAAACAGACTTGAAATATCCAGAGAATACTAATAAAAATAACTCTCACCTCTCCGCTCCTTTATTCCCTCCCCCCCTCCCTTCCTGGTTAGATAGAATCCTCATTTGTAATTACTGCGAAACATAACTAAATTATCGTATCTACTTTAAAATTTTAATTATTACTTTTAAGGTCATACATGGCATGTCACCTCGATAAATTAGCAATGCAGTTAGCATTAGGTCCTGTTCTGCATAGTCACTAAGATCCAATTACTCCATTGTTTTAGAAACGTCCTTTCGGGCGCATGCTGGCAACTTTAGGGGCGAGATGTTTTCCGCTACCGCCCCTAAACTCTGGAACAGCCTTCCCAAGCATACCCATGAAATCAAATCACTTGCCGCTTTTAAGAAAAATGTCAAGACATATCTTTTAGATTAGCTTTTACGTAGTTTTGAATACATTTTATTTTATTTTCATTTTATTTATGCATTTTTTATTATTGTTAACAATTGTTGGATTCCTACCTACTGCGGAGAGGGAAAAGGCAACCAGCGTAGCGAGGATAAACTTCATGTTGATCTGGCAAGTTAAGGTTAGTCAGGCGTTGTAGGTCCAAACTGCTCTCAGGCCAGGCGTTTGATGGACACTGGGTATGAGATCACCACTATTTTTAGCTCATGGATGATGTAGTCCTCCTCCGGGCTGGATTTAGGCTTTTGTACATTATGCTTTTGCTTCCCTACTAAAATGCTCCACCTTAATGCTCCATTTTTCCTACTAAAATGCTCGGTCTCCCCAAAAAAGTCAATGCTCGGATAATGCTCATTATACAAACGGTTTTTTTAAATCAATTTCAAAGTTTACACTTACAAAAACGTGCAAGTGTTGCAAGTAACAACGACAACGTGTACAAGTTCATAAATACAGCCAAAAAAAAAAAAACAGCTGTATTAGGTTTTTTGTGAATTTTGAGTTTTAGTCTTCATTTTGTTTAAAAAAGCAGAAGCTCATGGGGCATGGGCTCCTGAAAAAAGTTAATTTCTATTTTATTTTCTCGGAAAAATTATTTTTCCGGGGAAAATGCCACTAAAATGTTCGAATAATGCTCAATGCTTTTGCCTCACTAAAATGCTCGAAAAAAATGCTAGCATAATGTACAAAAGCCTAGCTGGATTTCATAAACTTGTCTAGATCTGCTAGCGCTAGCTTGCTGTGCACATCAATTTGATTTTACACTGAACGCATAACGGCACCAGATAGTTAGAGGACAGGATGCGTCACAGTGATCTATTGTTACATAGCCTGCATAGCATGGCGGTTTGTCGGGAGCACGACTGAGCGGCGAAGCCGCGAAAAAAAGAAATCCTGATGAGCCACAATAAGGGCGAAACGGCCCACGGCTACCACTGCCCGGATGATATATCTGTGTGCATGCGTGAGGTATTAGTCAGGCCGTGGGCTGTTGGTGTATGTGTGCCCCTTGCTTTACGTTTGTCTTCTTACAAGTAACTGGGTAAAGTTCCCAGCGTGAGGGGGGGGGGGGGTCAGGAACAGGAACTGACGGAATTTTGGGGTTTGACATTTTCAATTCAGGGACTTTTTTGGGTGGCTTAATTTTCTTAGGGAATTTTTGCGTATTCAAAAAAATCTGAAGTTGTCATTCCATAATGTTAGTAATCCGCTCCTGATGTTATTCATGAAACAGAAGATGTTTGGGTGTTTCGAGTGTTGTTAGAATCCAGAAGGCTCCTAAATTCGGCTTGGGAGTTATTGGAGGGGTTAATTTTTGGTACAGGGATTTTTTTAGGCTTTAATTTCTGCCCCTATTTGATCATCACGGTCAACTAAAATCCGGAGTTCCCGTCCTCTGGGGTATAGTTTCGGGAAATTGTTCGTCGATAATTTACCTTATTATAGAGAATAACGCTTCATCAAATTAACACGAATTTCAAAAATTCAAAACTACTTGGAGAGTCCGTGGAGGTCTGTCTTTGACTTCCTCTCATGGGTACCCCGGGGCGGTTGTTTGAGTGCGTGCCCGACCAGAACTACCATGCTGCGCAGGCTATGCCACGTTTCCGTTTCTTTTAGCGGACGGATCATTAGAAAACGCCAATTAATCCTAAAAAATATTAATGCTATGGCCTAAAAAAAAATTCATACAAGGAATTTGATACCCAAAAAAATTCCTGCGGCTCGAAAATTCCCCTCCCCCCCACCCATAACTTTTCCAATGGTCTGTCCCTAAGGGACGGACAAAAAAGAAAAATTCGCGCAAGGGAAAATTAAATGAAAAAAAATTCTTGCACGCCAATTAACCCTAAAAAATATTCATGTTATGGCCTAAAAAAGATTCATGCAAGGTATTTGATAACGAAAAAAAATTCCTGCGGCTCGAAAATTCCCCTCCCCCCCCTATAACTTTTCCTAATGGTCGGTCCCTAAGCGGGAGAAGCCCGGGAGATGTGCGAGGACTTCTTTCCTCACGCTTCTCGTGCACTTCTCTCGATTGCCATCACGAGACTCCCAATTATCAAAAATATTTCAGGGGCACCCAACGTCAATTTTCGGAAAATATCTGTTCGGAAGATCTAGAATTTTCGAAACATTTGTTGTAAAATTTCTTGCTTGCCTGCCTCTCCTAGGATTTTCGAACATCTAAAAAACTGAAAAAAAGGTATAAATGGTCATTTTAACGGATTTTTACCCTAAAATGTTCACCTAGAATTTTCGGGAGCCTTTTTTCTTGCTGAATTTTTCGACAAGGTAAGTTTCGATTCCTATAATTTTCAGATCACTAGACTTTCAGCTAGGAAATCCGAACCGATGAAAAATCTTTAGGAGATAAAAAATATGCCTTTATCTACCATTTAAATACGAAAATACGTTCAACAATGCCATGTGTAAGTGGTTTTGAACTATATTCTCAATGGGTGCCCCTAATATTTAACGGGCTGCCAAAGCGTATAAAAACATTGCTGAATACAAATCATCTGGCTAATTGATTCAGCACGTTGCTGTACTACTTGCGGAGAATGATGAATTCTTTTTCATAAATTTAAGTTGAGTTCTTTTTCGTAATTTTAACTATTACTTTGGTAAAGAAAATTGTTCGTTATACCGTTGTCCCTTTTCCCACCCCAAGTAAGCGTTCACACCTTTCCTGGATTCCTGAGACGATCAACAGGGTTCCCTCCTAATAATTCTCTCAGTGAGGACATTGTAATATGTACCAAAATAGTCTTAATGGCCTTTTTTCTGGCCAGCTCTCTGGCTAGAAGGCCAATCCTGAGAATAAGGGCGTGTACACTGAACAGGATATTTGTAGTCAAAGCAGTTGCTGTCAAATCTTTCCAAAATTGATCTCTGAGAGAACCCCTTAGCTATTAGACCTACCGAAACAGTTCTAGGATAACTTTATATTTCCTGCTTCTGATTGGCCATCAAGTATTTTTCTGGCAAATCAGGAGCTAGAAATTACCTGATTCTTCCTCTTCTGGAGCTGCTTTGGTAACAAGTGAGTAAGTAGCCTTGACATTCTACCTTAAAACTTCCCATTGGTCGGTTGGCAGTTTTGTCTCGATTAGCTGCAACGCGAGCTTTGTAGGATTGCGACGATTCATGATCAGTAAATAGTTAAAAATCCCCTCTGTTTCATCACCCTTAGAATTACTGGAATTAAAGCCTAGCTACATCTTATTCTAACGTCTGGTCTAAAATAGGTCAGGGCGTATATTTAAGGAAGTGGATTACTGTAGCTGATAAAAGATGCCATTGAGCGATTCGACTTACGCCATATCATGATTCATTAAAACATCATCCTCAATGATGATATTTATTCAATTATGGTTTTCATTGCAGGTTAGTGGTTTATTATTATTAGTTTGACGAATCAGTGTACGCATTAGTTTTTGAGGTGGTCAGATTTACAATAAAACAACACACAGGTTTTCTCTATTTAGTGGTCAGTTGTATTTTCTATGGTCGATGCAAACGCCACAAACTTCTTTTGGCAGAAACGTAACTGACGCACATAGGAGCGGCTGTGTTATACTTAGCAGTTGCACTGATGCAGAAAGAAAAGAGCTGTGAGAATAAGGGTTATCACAGAAGCAGTGAGAAATTTTCTGCTAGCTCTTGAAGACAGCGTTGGGCGCTGGGAGGCCTTTGCAGTTTTGTAGTCAAAGTTACATTTGTCTGATTGACAGCTGGCCATCTTGGAGCAAACTGCGTCTTTGTTACCCAACTGGTCGCATGGGTTTTTATCGCAATCCTCGTACAAGCAACAACCTGTGAAACAAAGAATTAGATAAAGTTCATTCGTCAGTTGCATTGTCACTCAATGAATTCAAAGTAACATTATATTTAGGCCTGGCTTACACGTCGTACGTCCAACGCGAACCCGAGGAAGGTAACTGAGCCGTGTTGGCATGGAACCGAACGTGATTTAACGTCTGCTTTTTCCTTGCATTTTAGTTGCCTTTGCGTTGCGCCGCGCTCATCACTCGCGAGAAACTCGTCTGAAAAATCTCCTGACTTGCCCTTTTGCAATATTACAGTATATAAAATCGCCCTTGCCTTTAAACTCCTGTACCGTATCATATGAGGTGTAATTTACTGTGTAAATTTGACAGGCGTAGACTGAGTCCGGCATGGAGGGGCTTTCACATTCCACTGTTACAGAGCCGGCAACCTTACAGCTGGGCACCGAACCACCACATCGATGACACGTGATCGACCAAGCTGGGAACAAAACATAAAAGGTGAAGTATAATTACTCTCAAAAAGTTATTACAAAGTGCGATGGAATTATTACAAATTGCGACAGCTTAGTTTATTACAAAGTGCGATGGACAGTTATTACAAATTGCGACAGCTTTTTTATTACGAAGTGCGACACGGTTTATTACAAATTGCGACAGGTATCAAGACAAATTACGATGGATTTATTACAAATTGCGACAGGTATTACAAAGTGCGATGATTATTACAAATTGCGACAGTACACACCCGGAATAGACTGATGCATAACAGGAGTGACTTTGACCAATTTTAGCGCTACCGTTATCTCACAAGCCAGACGGACGTCCGCTGCTATGATTTCTCTAATAAACATGGCGATACCGAAAACCGAGCGCCTTTACGGTCCACTCACCGTCCACACCTAATACAAAGTACCAAAAATAGTACAAACTCGAACTCAAGCTCCTATGGATTCTAGTCAGGAAAAACACTGGCACAGCCCTCTGCCCCCTTTTCTCCTTATTCACTATTCCTAAGTGCATTGTAGAGTGAGCAAGCCAAAATAGGCCTTGATACAAATATCCGGATAGTTTTTAAGATATTTAGAAGATTTTGAGATATTTAGAAAATCTCATGATAGTTAGGAAAAAATTGTTATATTTAGCAATTTTTTTTACGAAAAAAGTACTGAAATCATGTTTTTCTAGGAAGCTACTTCAATGCTTATTAGAGCATGGGCATTTCAGCGACAGAAATTCAAACAAATCTCCACATATGGGCCTAACTGTTGTAATCAGATTCAGCAATATTCTCCAGTTATAATGTATGCAATGTGGCTAAATTTTTCAACAAAATGGCTGAAATTTGTGTTGCCGTGATTTTAGATGAGCGGCTATCTTTTGTGTTTTTACTGTAATATTTATGAAATGAAGCCAGATATTTTTGAGATATTTAGAACACTTTCGAGATATTTAGAAAAAAAATATCAGGAATTTCCGCAAACATATTTAAGCGATTTTTCGTGATATTTGTATCTAGGCCTAAGCCAAAACCATTGTAAAGCAAGCAATATTGAAAGGTCTGTCTTTCGCCCCCTAAATGTCAAGTCTTATTGAGATCTATTGATAACCAAGACGAAAATCGACGATAGGGCATCAGGGCTAGGAGAGCATCCAGGTTAAGCTTCTGAATTTCGGGGTCGTTGAGCCGACACGTTGTCTCCACCACGGACCCATAGAACTTTTGAAGTTCAGTCAGATATGTACATTGTACACGTCGTCAATAATGAATTTCCAAAAATGCAAACGAAGATGAAATTGATTCCATTGTTTTCTTAACACTAGTGTCCAAATGACTGACCAAGCCTTAGTAAAGTATTATTTCGCAACTGATGAAAAAACATTTTAAAACTTTCTTCATAAAAATTGTTTTTCCTAGAAAAATTGGTTGCGGTAGATACATGTAATTTGCCTGAATGTTTCTTTCCGTTAATGAAGGGCAAACATGTGACGTTTTAATAGAACTTACTCCTTTTAATTTCTGATATTTCTGAATTTATTTCACCTCTTAGTAGTGTCCTTCTCAAAACATAACAGGTAACAACTTTTCCTTAAAAAAAGGGAAGACAGTTTAATTTGTCGTGTGGGTGGGACAAGACAGCGAGTGTTGAGGTTCTTAAAACATGCATGATTATAAATTATCAAGAATGCCATATAAACATTGTCTCTTCAAATTACTTCGCCATTTGCTCTTTTGGAAAAGATGAATGAAAGAAAAGAAAAGCACATAAAAGGGTTCATTTCTTCTTCTAGTGAGCGCTATAATTGTATTAATTGCCGGGAACTTTTTGAGAGCAATGCAGCTAAGAAGCGGCTAATATTCTAATTCATCTGGTTCATAAATAGCGAAAAATGGCCTCGCCTTCTGCTTATCTCGGCATGATTACTGTCCATCACATCAGGTAATACAGTGATGTAACATATGAACTGTAATGAAACAAAGCCGTACCTTGCGCAAAAAGAGCAGCGCCGACGACGATTTGTAGCAGCAACTTCATCTTCACCACTTTCGTCACTAGTTGGCTTGGGTTTTATACAGCCGTCTTTTAATAAAGTAACATTGATAGTTAGAGTTTCACAGCTGTGTTTACTCAGATCTGTGATAAGTGTCATCGACGGCAACAAAGTCTTACTAATCCATTGTACGATTGCTACCCAAGGAGAGATTGCTGTAAAAGGCTGAAAAGGGCCCATAGCTCCCCCCTTTAAGATCGACTGATCGACTGTGCGAGTTAAAATCGAAATATCGAAAAGTGCTCTGTAAATCGATGGGAGTTTTTTTTTTGTATCTTCTACGAGTCACTATTTCAGTAAGTTATAATTTTATTTGTATTTGCCAGTGTCCTTGTTGTGAAAACGTTTATTTTGAGTGTCGAAATATAGTCCTTTCCAGTTGATAAGAATAAACCTGTTAACGATAGTTCTAAGCAACTGACTTTTCTCTATGGGGGATCGGGACGAGCCCTAAATGCTAATTGCCGGTCAGTCTTTCAAGCATCTTATCCGATAAGCTGTCAGTTAACCCAGGAAACAATTTGAGTTGTCAGTAAGATTTTTGGAAATTGCCTTTTTGTCAGCTGTCGGATAAAATTTAGGCCGTTTGTTAGTTATCATCAAACCTCATCCTAACCTTCCAGTGTGGATCCTGCTGCAGGCAGGGATACTTAACAATTATTCCTCGAGCCCGAATGTGCTCTGAGTCAACAGCCCACGAGGCTGAAGGCCGAATGGGCTATTGACTCAGAGGCCATGAGGGCTCAAAACAACTTAAAGCAAGACTTCATTCTCTTTTTGTCGCCCAAAATCTGGCGCTTTTTGCTACTAGTGGGCTATAACATAGAGCCTAGTAGAAGCTCAACCAATCAGAACAACGCACCGTTGATAATATACCACTAGTTAGATTTTACTAGATAGCTTTATCCCCAGTACTGACCAAAAGGCAGGACATGGAACGTTTTAAACGTTTGTGGCCATTTTAATTCCCCTTTTTGGTGTTCACACCCCCACATACACAGCACTATCATAGCTCGTCTGGAAACCAATATTTTCAATCTTCGTTTGGTCTCTGATTTGTCCAGGATCGAACGTTCTTGAGATGCCAGTCACCCTGATAACGTCTTGATAGCCATAACAAAGTTCCCCCATAAACAAAAGTTCACCAAAATACTTATAATTCGGTCAAATCTAAAGTAAGTGTGAAAATAACAAACAACGCAATCGTGAATGAGATTGAAGTACTTTTAATTAGACAAATGTAATCAACCATTGAGATATCAACATGCAATTTTTTTAAGCGCGTGTATTCTGAAGTAGGTAAGTTGGCAAACGGGGCACGCTATGTGTTTGCAGGTTTTCCGACGAAATGGAAAGTCTGTTTAGTAGCTATTTGACTGTGTGTTTTGACCACTGATTGAGTTAAGAGTTAAGACCCTGTAAGCTAATATTCTGATGAAACCTACTACCATTGGCTTGATTCCGTTTACTTCAAGAGCTTTACAACAGAATTCGTCGCAGTCTTGTTTAACAGCAATAATGATTATGAAAGTGCCCTGTGCGTCTCCACACTTATCAGCTGGTTAACAGCTTAATATATATCAGAGAAATGTTCCTCATGTAGCATATAATGGAGTGTTATGCTTAAAAACCTGGCAACCTTTCAATGGAACTTTGCAGGTTTTTGGTTTAGGGACGGCTGACTGTTGTTATGGGCAAGACAGACTACAACGACAAAATGGACTCGCTTGTTAACGACAAACAGACCTACGAAGTACTTCAACGAGACCCGACACCCGCACTGCAACGCAATGAACTTAACAACAAAGTGCTTACACTGAAGAAAACCGACAAGATCGACTTTCGACGCTACAACAAACTGAGGTGTAGTATTCCGCAGCCACCCAAGCTGTATGGACTACCAAAACTACACAAACACAACTACCTATGCGGCCCATAGTTTTCTTTCTGTGGGTCTCCAACCTATCAAGTGTCTAAATACTTAACTAACGCACTGAAACCGCTGACTGACAAATCTAGACAAAAAACTACAGTCTACTGAGAACTTTACTGACGCCATTAAGACAATACAGCAGGGGCACCCCACGACCGTTTTCTGGGAAACATCTGTTCGGAGCCCTCTAGAATGGCTAAAATTTTCAAGAGCCCAAGAATAGCTAAAAATTTCGAAAATGTTTCGTGGTGACTGTTCGTTGGGCTCAGAGATTCGGGATTTGTGTGGTTTGTACACCTAAGAATTTCGGATTTTGTAGTAATCTCTAGATCACCTAGAAATTTCGTAGCTTTCGTAAACTAAGAATAGCAAAATTTTTAAACTCGGCTGACAGTCTCATTATCGAAAATTTCCCACAACTGATTTAATTTCTGAGGGTACCAGGCTTACCGGTTACGCGTACGCGAGCGCTATATCAGCGCGCGCATCGCGTGAATAGCGCCTGTCAGTCCTGTGTATCGGTCGATGGACACGCAGGACAGTATCTATCGCAGCAGGACTACGGATGGAGGGGTCAGAGGGATAACACAGACAATGCTATTGTAGCACTGTTCTGGGCATCGCATGTATCTGATCTACCGAATTTTAATAAAGTCACATTTCTGAGATTTGCAGTTACAGTTAACCGTGTAGGAAATAGGAAACTTTCAGCGTTTCAGTGAACTTTAGCCCGCGAAAACAGACGTTTCTTCACTGTTTTTTTTCTTTGCTCGCTCATCGCCACCTGGGGGGTGTGTAGGGAGGGGGGTGGGGGCGAGGAGCGAGGACAAAGTACTGCTGGCAACTCTTACTTTTGGTTGTTCGGTGACCGTAATGTGCAGGGTGACAAGTGGGTGATACAGACCC